AGTATTGTCATTTATTTCGTATTTATTGCTTCCCGCTAAGATATTTCGGTATGTGCTATCCACAATTCATGCAAGCATTACAATGAAATCTGAAACTTTTTAATTTTCCAGTGCCAGCACCATTCAGTACGAGCAACAAGGGATAATCGTTGTGGCCTATAGGCCTATATTGTTTATCGGGGTTATGAGTGTTAAACTTAGGCCTACATTATTTAGAACAGCCGCTAATAACGAGGTATCCGATGGTTTAGTAGACCTCGCTTACCATTTGAATCTGTTTTATTACTTCAAGGTTATTCTCGTATATTGGTAGTTTACTGTATTATTGGCAAACAACTACTTTTTCAATCAAGAATTTAATTACCTCTAAATTTCATAAAGATCCATTCATTCAATGTTTGCGTAATCCTGACAGACCAACAAACAGCGTTGAATGCACCTCCTTAGCGGAGTTGCTTCACAAGCTTGACAAACGATAATGAATAAGAATAAGTCAAATATTCATTTTCCTGATTCGTGTCTACAAAATCCGTTTCGCACTTGAAAACTCATAAACTAAATATGATAGATGGTTTCTCAAAACGCAATGACAGACGGTGAAAGAGGATGATCTGCTCTATTTTTTTAGATAAAAATTTATGGTATAAACTTAGGCCTATTGGTTGTTTCCGTTAGCTTCCGAAACCTATCTAATCTTTGCATATAACGATTCACGGGATCCGACCTACATAGGAATTATCTTAACCAATTAAGATAATCAAGATATTGTTAAAATAACTTGCGAAATGTATTGATTAGTTTAGTACACTTTTGTATATCTATTTCCATCACACGAACCGCATGTAATCCATGCCTGATTGATGTGCTAAAGGGGAACTTCAAGACCTGTCATCTTTATGTACACTTGCTCGTACATCTACGCTAATGGCGTTCCGCTAAAGCCCCGCCCCTTGGGTACTCTTCCTCTCTCTCCATGGTGTTATCTCTTCTGAGGTTGACGTGAAATGACCTTCCAACTGTCTCTGTTCTTTGCTTCTACTGTACATTCTTGCATTGTTCGTCTCGTCCAGCTCTTAATGTCATCTGTCCATGTCTGTTGTTGTCTTCCTCTTTGTCTTTTGCCCTCGGCTTTTCCTTCCAGTACAAGAGTGAGTACTCTTCCTGAGGTCCCACAAAACGGCAGCGCTAACGTACGTAAGCACGTGCGTTTGTGAGAAAATATACGAGTGTCTGTGGGACTAGCGTGTATCTCTGGCCGTGTTCTGATTCGTCAGTAGTTTTATTGAAACTTTATCGTCAATGAGCACATTGTATCTGAATTGCATTTATACTGCATGACTGAATGTGAAATTTTTTTGAGAATTTCAAGTAGTATAACCATATTATTTTAGTACTCATGACTATTTTTCTGCAAGGCTGAACTATTTTGTTATAATTTAACTTAACAAAAAGAGCGAAATGGCATCGATTCACTTAAGGACATCCTTTGCTAAACATGAAGATCAACGATGACTTAATTAGTTTAGAGTATGTAAATTAGTTCAGATTTAATAGAAGAGTTATATATTTGCTGGTCGCCCTTTGATGGATAGGCCTCAGTGTCGGTTGTGAAATAGTCGAACAGAGATAATGGATGTGTGAGTAATCTTCTAGATTGACTTAATGCTTACACTGTTGACACGATTGCGCTCCCCTTCAAGCAGATGCTGTATTTCACACGTTTTATTTTATTTCAGGGCATCATCTTGGATATTTGAATGGTCAGTCCTTGACCAATATTGAATAAAGGGTTTGATGAATAACACGTACAGCATACCTTTTGATAATTGTAAACAATACTGAAGGGAGGAGAGAGGTAGAGCACGAACTGCTGGAAACAGCTATATACTGTGGCGGATCCAGGAATTCGAAATAGAGGGGGCCAAGGAGCAACTCTCCCAGATGGGTCTAGACTACCTCAGCCCACCATGGATGGGGGCTGAGGTAAGACAATTTATGATTAAGGCACCTCTAAATGACCGGCAATGGCACTCTCAGACTTAATTTTGAATGCAATTTTCCCCTTTTCTCCATTTTTTAAAATTTTGAAAAATTTAAGGGGACTTCCCCGCCACCCTACCCCCTGAATCCGCCGCTGCCATATAACAACAACATATAATGTATGATGTAGATATCCGCGTATACCGGTATTTTATTGGCCTATAAGATAAACTTGCTGTAGGTAATAATGAAAAACAAAGCGATTATAGTACACTTCTGTATCGATGAAGACAACTACTCGGATGATAACATTGAAGATAATAGTGATGATTATGATGATGAGACAAAGGATAATGAAGATGTCGATGATTACGATTTTGAGGATGGCGATGGTGACGATGATGACGAAGATGATGATAACGATGATGATGATGACAAATAAAATACTCCGTTCAATTCAATTTCTCTTTTTGATTAAACTATTGATATTTATGTTACTTCGTTAGGATTAATTAAAACTAAAGTTAAAAGTTATTTGTATGTTTAGGGTTTTGATAATTTTTTATCCGTGTTTGGTAGGCCTATATCATGGTTTTGTCATTGTTACAAGTATTCCATTCTCTTAAAGGCGGGCATCCCGCTGTTGGATGTGAATTGAAATTTTAAAAAAATAAATAAAAATGATCATGAAGGTGTTTGTGATTATAAAGCTGGGGCAGATGCAGGATTTGGCGGTAGGGGGTGCGTGCCTCCACCCATGGTTGGGGCTGAGGTAATAGAACATTTTTGAGAATAGGGACCTCTCAGGCGCGGGTCCAGCGTTTTAGCTCGGTTTCCATAGAACCGCACACCCTATCGGCGACAGTCGTGACAGTTGTGTTTCACAGACGAATCGGGGTGCCTTCTCGATTGCGCAGGGCAGCTAGCAATGCACCCTGATTCGTCTGCGTCTGCAATGCAATCGGAAAAGTTGAACCAGGTTGAACCTTCCCGACAACTGTCGCCAGACCACCAGGCACTGCTATCACTTAATATTGGCGAACGGTGCGAAGAGGTCTGGATCCGCGCCTGCCTCTAGGTGCCCGGAAATTTCACTCTCATACCTTACAACAATACAATTATTTTTCTTAATACAAAGTAGGGGGGGGGGGTCGACCGCGCCGTCTGCACCTCCTCTGCGTCAGCCCCAGTAAAGATAGTAATAATGAAAATACACTATGATAATAATGAACGATTTACAAATGTGAATATTTTCACAAATCGAAGACGTCGTCATCAGGGAGTTGGAGGCTCTGATTATTCCATTATCATTAGCAAATAATCGTTGGTTGTTGTAATATTCGCTTGCATATGTCTATTAGGGCATAAGTTATCCATATGCACCTATAATGTCCATTTTTTAAAATTATTTTCAACGAGTATTTACATCAAGATCTTCGGCAGCAGACACGCATTATCCTGACCTTCTCCCCTCTGAGAACATTGTTCTTTAAGCGTGACCCCCACATGTGATTCAAAGGACGAAACACGATACACCCTTGTACAAACCATGGTTGGTGCATTTCGCTGTGAATTTCTCTTTTGTCCTTGAGCAAGGCACTTTATCTACAATGCTTCCGTCTACCCAGCTTTATCAATGGGTACCAGAAAATTGATGCGAGTAACCTGCGGTGGACCAGCGTCCCACCCAGTGGAAGTATTACACTCTCGTCCGCATCACGCTACAGAGCTGGAGATAAGCTCCAGCCCTTGAACACTAGTCGCTCGGCAAGGGTTTACTTTTACTTCACAAACATATGGTTGGGGTGGTGGTGATTGTGGTTGGGGTGGTGGTGATTGTGGTTGGGGTGGTGGTGATTGTGGTTGGGGTGGTGGTGATTGTGGGTGGGTTTGAGAAATTCGAAATTTAGTTCAGAAAGAACTGTGATCAGGCAGCATTGATCTGTATACGTACTTAGATTCAGCTATTAAGTCTACTATTTACTTTTATCGCTCGACTTTCTGTTTCCATATGCAAACAAGGGGTACTGACTCAGAGCTCACATTGGGATTTGTAATAACGAATGACTTAATTGGAAACAGCTGTCCCATTTTACTACTGTGCTCCCGAACTTGTTAATGTTTCACTTCATTTGAAATTGCTAGTCATAAAGAGAACATTCAGTAAGGGTAAATGAATCATTGTAGTCATATTTATGCAGGTTTTGGAATATTTTTAATACACATCGAGGAATTCGCTTCATTTCCGTCGAAATTTACTAAGACAATTCTCTATTGGTACATTTATGGCGCTTTGGAGTGAAATCTTAACGCGTTTCAATTTAAGATGAACTCTTTTATAATGCTAATTTCCTTGAATTATCTTTTATCATCCTCATGCGATTTCGATTCAACTGTGGTATTGCCAAGGAAAGCAATTTGCTTAACATGTACTTTTTATGTCGAATAAAGAATTATCAGTATCAGTAAAAACAAAAAGACCAAAATTATATTTGTTTACAAGCCTATAAGATACAAGTCATTTTTTTTTTGTCAAAAGTGAAATTGATATATTGTATGTGGCGTATTAAATAATCAATAAAAAGTCATAAGTCTAAGTGAAATTATTATACTGAAGTAAAACAGTAAGTGATAAGCTATCTTCTAAATATTAATTCGTACTGGTTTGGTTTCCTGCCTTGTTGTATGCTGCAGTGGCGGATCCAGGAATTCGAAATTGAGGGGCCTAGGGAGGGGCTTTCACTGATGTTGAGTCTAGACCACCTTAGATGGCATCTCTTATGGCCGCAAATGACACTCTCAGATCTAAATTTGATCAATATATTCCTTGTTTTTCCATTTTTTTTTTTAATAATTTCGAAAAAATCCCCACCCCCACCACGTTGAATCCGCCACTGGGCTGGTATACAACTTTGATTTGCATTTTTGCCATCCTTCCTTCCGTTAGTCTTGAAAGGGAACGAGTAGTCACTCAAAAATTTGAATAAACTATAAAATATTATTAATAACAATATGTCTACCTTTAGCTAATAATTTAGCTTCCGCTAACGCATCCCCTTCAATCTGTAACGTACTGACGGAATCGGATGCATCTTGATGCCCACTTGAATGTTTTTCATTATCGCTCCCTGGCTCAAATACTTGGTAAATTGAGACTTCTATACCATTTTCTCTAAATGCATTCCTAAAAGCATCTGCCGCAAGTGACCATATATGTTGAGATGAAAAGTAAATGCCTACCCTTGAAAATTCAAAATGTTTCATGATTTCTACAAAGAACGGCGACATTTTTTCGGTGGGGGCAGTTGACCTGGCAAAGTTAGGGTACTGATTTTTGTCAGACAGAGCGCTGCTTGAACATGACCACGAGATCATTGGTGTCTTCCAGTGGTTTGCAAGGTAACCGCCTGGTTCGCAGATGACACTGCATCCTGGGCCAATGAACGCATCAACTGAATACTTTTCGTACATGTCTAATATGCTAGCTAATCCCTTTGAAGTATCACAATCTGTATCATTCCATATGAAACTAAGTGTGTGTCCGCCATCGTGGATTGCGCTAAAATTCGAGTCATTGTTGATCGTCTCAATAGCCACCGTCATAGCTCCTCCAGCTCGTTGACCAACTGGCCAAAATCCGTCCCAAGGAACAAGAAATCCAAGACGAAAATCCTTCCCCGCACAGTTCGTCGATAACATTAACAAAGAAAATATTAACAAAATCATGCGAATTATAATCAACATCATCAGGTTAACGAAGCAATCATAATACAGTAGACAAAATACAGTTCTAAGAATTTATGTCAGTGCCTAAGGAAATGGTCCATAACTGTAGCGTGTAGTGCTATACCTATAGATGTTACACGAACGATATCTTACTAGGCGTATGGCCTGGTCGCACGTCCTATCAGTGTATCGGTATCACTTACGATATTAATGGTTTAGATGTTTTAAATGAAGACCAGAATACAGTTACCTTCATTCAGCATTATAAGCTGTCAATCATTGGCCGATATGTCGACATTAAGGTGGAGTGCCATTTAAAGCAATGGTGTCAAATAGCAGGACATATTAAATTATATGGGAACAACAGATCAAGCGTATGAAAAATTTACAGGACCACGTGAATCATAGACGTGTAGTAAACATACATGCTTATCGGAGTATTTGTATTGTCCAGTGTAATAAAATAATATGCGTGTAAGTGTTAAAATGTAGGCCTAAAGTCATAACAAGAGATATTATCGACTGTAACCTTGTACATTTTATTAAAGCTATAAAATAAACACTATCTTACTTTTTAAATAATAGTTAGTAGTTATAATACGGTGGCTCATGGCAAATATGGGCCTCTGTAATGTTGGGAGTAGAAATAATTATTAGAAATTGGATATCCCATGTACCAAACACCTCAACAAGTAAATTAAATTATTTGAGATAATTGTTTAGTTTGCATTCCTCTCCTATTTTTTTTACTTTATGCCCTACTGTACTTACAAAAGTATATTAATGTGCAATTGTAATTTTTTGATCATTATTACGATCATAATAATATACTTTTGATATAACATCATCATTAAAAAAAAACCAGAATTATATTTAACGCAGTTTGATTGACTTAAACTCTTTAATACATTTTAAAGAAATATTCAATTCGGATAAGAAAACAAGCAATAAGATAAATTGTAATGAAAGGCCATTCAATATAGTCATAATATTTTACGATTATCTTTTAATAAGAAACAACGATAGATTTACTACTAAGAGGGACCAGCAAAAAACGCTAACTCAGAACTGACGTACCAAGATAAAATGTTGTTTTTCTGAGGTTTTATAAACTCTTATATATTATCCACATATTTGTTTATATATAGGTCTATAATATATGAGTAAATATAAAAAAACATATGTCAAATAGGAACAATTGATGTTGATTTGTTTTGATTTTTTTTTTTCTTTCTTTCTAATTGTGTAGCCTGTTCAGTAGAAATGTACTTTTGTCCCACGGGGCCAGGTTATGCTTAATAAACTATATATATATATATGTATATATATATATATATATATATATATATATATATATATATATATATTTTTTATATATAGAAAAAATATTATTGGTTTATAATAGTAATTCCCAAAATTTACAGCATTCATTCTGATCAGAAGCCCTCTCTTTACTTTGCAAAATTAGCCTCGAAAAGAAGCCCATCTCAAAAAGAAGCCCATCCAAAGTTCGCAAAAAAAAAAAAAGAAAAAAAGAAAAGAAAAGAATGAAAGAAAAAAACAAAGTAAGCCCAGGGCTTCCCAATCTTCTAAGATTTCATCATCGTCGTGGATATAGGGGGCGCACTACAAAAATATTCTGCAACTTCACAATCACCAATTTCCTTTTTTCGTTTCATTTTCTTTCTTTTCCTATTTTTCCTTTCTTTTTCTTTATTTTAGTACTTTCTTTTCATTTTTCTTTCTTTCTTTTCTTTTCTTTCCTTTTTCTTTATTTGTCTTTTTTTTTCTTCTTTTCATTTTCGTTTTCTTTACTCCTTTCTTTGCTTTCTTTTCTTCTTTCATTTCTTTCTTTTTTTCTTTTTTTTTTAAGGCATATTATCATTTTGCGACGATCCAAATAGCTGCATTAATTTCCTTTTCGAGACAGTTTACAAGGAACAGTTTAGATGGAACTGACTCAAGCCATTGCATTATATTTAGATGAAGAAATGGTTTTCCGCTGTTCCGTTCTATGTGTTGAAAGGACAAGCTGGGTTCAAAATGAATGAATGTATTTCAATCTTACATTGACGAAACAATACTGTTACTTGGAAATTAAGAAATAACATTAGCAGTAGTAATCAATAAGATAAATACTCCCATAGAATTCATCGGTCTTAAGCCATGGACCGAGTTGCAGCTGGTTTGAAACGGCCTGTTACCGTACCACAGTTTGCTCAATCCTTGCCAACCGGTTAAATGTTTTCGTGGAAAATTAAAAAAAAATCGACACCAAAAAACCAAATTGGATTTAGAAAAGGTGCTAGGACTAGTGATCACATTCTAGGTCTTAAAATGATTACCGATAAATACATTAGCAAGTCATACTTATTTGTCTGTTTTGTAGACTTCAAAGCTGCTTTCGAAACAGTATGGCGAAATGCAATTTTTGTTAAACTTAACAACATGGGTGTTAGCAGTAACTTTTTAAACATTTTCCGTAATAATAATAATAATAATAATAATAATAATAATAATAATAATAATAATAATAATAATAATAATAATAATAATAGATAAATAAACAAATGTCTCTTTCTCCATAAAATGTAATATTAAGCTGACAGATACGTTTTCTACGTCTATGGGCGTTAAACAGGAATGCAATTTAAGTCCGCATTAATTCAATCTTTTTTTACATGATTTACCTTCAATTTTCAATGCCGCATGTGATACGGTTAACCTGAATGGTTCTCCTCTTTCCTGTCTTTTATACGCGGATGATCTTGTGATTATATCAGAGACACGTGTTGGGCTGCAAAATGCCTTAAACTCTATCCACACTATCAAATTTTGTGTGACAAAAACATGTGACATGCCCAAATATGGTCATGATGACATCACACCATGACCATATATAGGCATAGCATTACTATATATGGGTATGTCACATTTTTTTGTCAAAGGAAATTTGATAGTGTAGACAGAGCTTAAGATAAGTTAAAGATGTATTGCGACAAATGGAAATTGACGGTAAATATTTAAAAAAACAAAAACTAAAGCAATGATCTTTAACAAGAGTGGTAGAAAGTTAAAAGCTTTGCTTTCCGTTTTACTTTCATATGCGAACTAGGTTGCTACCCCGTGTTAATATCCATGTTTAGTCATGCTGTTAAATATTGGCATTCTCTAAATGAAAAGTGTAGAAAAGATTTTAAATCACTTCAGGGGTGGCGCCAGCGGGGGGGGGGCAGGACCCCCGCCGGGGAGAGCTGTCCCCCCGCCCCCGTCGGGGAGAAAAAGCATAATTCGTCAGGGAGAAAAAAAATTATATGTATTTTCTACATATTAGTAGACTCTAAAATCGATTAAATAGGCATTTGAAACCCCTAAATTGTCAAAATTTTCGGGGCTTCGATCCAGGACCACATTTGAAACCTTTTAATTGAAGGTCGAACACACCCACTTTGCTTTCGTTGGGGAAATCTGACCCCCCGTCGGGCAAATCCTGGCGCCACCCCTGAATCACTTGCTATTGATGCTTTAACTGATAATAGAAACCTTTACGATTCAAACAAATGGATAGGCTATACATGGTCGTCTGGTATATCATCTTTACAAAATGAATGTAACTTAGATGATGTTTGGATTAAACCAAACACGTTCAGTTTAGCCAATCTCAATACACGTATTACTGATTCGTTAAAAGATAACTTCTCTAATCAATGGTTAGGCCTAGAGTATTAGTAACACTCAAAACAAGATACGTACTTATTGTAAATTTATAACTACTTTTTAAAGAGAAGTTTCAGATCGTATTACAGTAAACTGAGAACCAGTGCTCACAATCTAATGATTGAGAGAGGTCGATATACTAGACCAACAATTAGTCCCGATGAGAGAATATGTAACAATTGTAGTTATGGTGAGGTAGAGGATGAATTGCACTTTTTAATAAACTGCACTCATTACTCTAACCATAGATACACTTTATTTTCGAACGTTAGGGATGGTATATATAAACAGCTTTGATAGCTTAAATGATTATGATAAATTCATTAGTCTCAAGAGTAGTCAATATTTTGACATGGTTGTTGCCACTCCTCACACATGAGCTGTTTTTATGGAGAGGGAAGTTTGTGCTTCTTGTATTGTCTTGTTGTAATTGTATTTCTTTAATGTTGTTTATCAAGATGTTTGATGTATCAATAAAGTAACCAACTATGGTATTTTGCTTTGATTTGTACTGTCTATTTAGTTGTATTTTGTTTGGAACGTCGCATCAAACCAAATCAAATCACTTGGCTTGATTTTTTTTAGGTTCGTGTGCAAAAAAAAATTCCTCATTTTTTCGTCACCGCAAAGACATCGTGCACCGTGCGATAAATATTGAATTGTAATTGAAAATTTCTTTTGTAAAACAAGCTTAATTAGAACCCGAAGAAAGTTACTTCAAATTCAATATTAATTATGAACAATTAAGGAATTCATTGAATCAATGGACCCTCATAAATACAACAAACTGAACGTTTTTAATAGGAATATTCTAGACCTATTCTAAAGACTCAAGGAACAATTTAGATGTAGGCTTACGGCCAGACAGGAGGCCGCCCAGGCCTCCTTCTACTACCGGTACTCTACTACTACTAGGCCGTAGCCTAGCCTAGTTATGAAATCATCGCACGATTTTACCTGTGCATGCACCGACCAAAAAGGACGTGACTGTATTCTCTCTCGAATGCTGAAATATTTATTTCTTTGACGAAAGTCTATCAAAATAGCATTACAAAAAGTTCTTTCTAACACAATGGCTATGTTCTCACACGGCAGCTAATGGTTAGCAGGATCCGGATCCTGCTAACGGTTAGCGCTAACCGATCGGGCGTTCTCACGCAGGTGCTAACGATTAGCGCTAACGGTTAGCTCCCGATCCGGATACTAGGGCTGTCGTGAGAACCAGGCTAATACAAATTACAATAGTTATTCATCGTATCCGTACTGTACTGCTGATGTGTGTCCAAACGCGTACTGCAGGAGCAAAAATCAGCATACGCACAGCTAAATGTAAATACGCACACGTTTACTGATCATATCACTATAGCAACCGATGACTGCTACAACAGTTTGGTTACAAAAACCTAAAACTAAACTAAAACTAAAAGACGGCGATTGACTTATAAAGCAATTAGTAGAGCATGCATCGTACACTAAATGGAAAATTATTACACTTAGGTTAGATTTAATGCATTCAAAAAATTCCTTCGGGCCTTGCAGGCCCTCAGGAAATTTTTTCAAGCATTAAATCTAACTTTCGTATAATAATTTTCCTATAGTGTACTATCCGAGCTCTACTAATTGCTTATTAGCACTAGAATAGGTATATTCATCGCATAGGGACCATGTAGGGCCTAATATACGCTATAAATGTCTCCAAAGGTGAGGCATCTACATGACGCCTTATTTACGTCACTAAATAAACTGATTCACTATAAACTCACTGCGTCATACGACGCGACGGTCGTACGGCCGTCGCACGACGAATCCAACTCCACTCACGATGAGCGATAGACCACGCGACGCCGTCTGCTGACTCTCGGTCTGTGGCAGTCTTGCGCTCGTTGTGCGCGCGTCGTCGCATTGTGTTCTTTATAGAATCGCATCGGCCGGCGTCCATTGGGCGCAGTGAGTAGCCGGTTTTAGATAGACCCGTAGGCCTACGTATAACCATAAACAATATCCCTTTAACACTGCCAAAGTCAAAATAAACAAGTGTTAATTCCGGAATGATACCGGATACATTTCCATTTACTGTACATGAACGAAAAAGTCCTGGTTTATCCCGAGTTGCACCCATTTTACACCGGCAACGAATGCAGATTCAAATACCACCCTTATGTTGCGATGATGATCAATCTTGACCGTAGATACGCCATTGTCTACTGGTGTACCGCAAGCATTATTATATATTATTACTTCATCATGCAAACCTTCAAACAATATTTTTGAGGTCCTTCTTAAATGTTGGTGTAAGGTTCATGATTCTTTAAATATCGTACCAATAATGTATAATTTGGCTTCTCACAAACTACTTACTGTATAGTAATTATAATGTGCCTATGATCGTCTAGTATTTACCATGAGAGACTGCACTAAGAAATACTTTAAAATATTGAAAAATGCACTTTTCAACTTGCGACCAGTGGTTGTAAAGTATTATGTTCTGACCTATATTTGAATTTTATATTGCTAATAATAAAATCAATAATGCATATCTGACGGATTATGGTCTACAGGAAATACGTTTTCTATTCTTAAATCTCTTTGTTATTTGATTCCTCTAACTTTCCTTATAAATAACAATGTCCTCGCTAATTTGAGGCATATCGTGGCGAAATAGTTAAGTTTACAAGCCACGCCTCCTTGGCTGATGTGATTGTATTTAGCAACTACTTAATAGGGGAAGTGATCACCTGGGGGAAAATCCACGCGGCTGCAGTTAGTGAAATGCCGAATGCTAAATTTAGCTTTGTCCGCACTATCACATTTAAATTGATAAAATGTGATATGCCCATATTTGGTTGTAATACGACATCATCAAGCACATATATGGGCACATCACAAAAAAATTGTCACATAAAATTGTTAGTGTGGACAGAGCTTCAGGTAGCACACACGTAGATAAGACAATCCACTGGTCCATTCCCGAAATGTGTACTGCTTTAACGTGGTAATAGGCCATGATTTAACGAAGGTCTAAAGACTTCGGGAAGCTGGTGCGATTGCTATTCGACATCAAAGAAAAACAACTTAATGGAATAGAACCAAGACACAAAAATATATTCTTTCAACTAAGTGCACAGCACACAAAGTGATTATTCTATCAGGAACAGAAATAATATTTAACAGTCTTCTTTTTTGATAGACAGCATAAAAATTGATTGTAACAGCATCTTTGTCGTGGAAAGTATCGCATAGAAGAGGTAGAAACAAGTAGACCATTGTAAATGGTTTCGGACTTTTTAATAAGATATGTATGAAGATTATATCACCTACGCATTAAGTGTGTCTTTATCATGTTTTATAAAGCTTGTAGGCCTACTGAATAAGCACTATAGTTATTTATTTGCTGGGTGAAAAATGGAAAGCGTGATCTGTCATACAAAGAAAATAATAGATTTGTCTGGTTTACAGTGGTATTTATCAATAACACAAGGTAAACTCAAACCAAACGAAGACTTCTCGAACCAAGATGGAGGTGTTTAAAAAGTCTCTGAGACTGTGTTTGCTTTTGTTCTTCGGAGCCATCCAAGTGCATGGATTGCAAGAACAAGGTCCTATAGTTTCTACTATAAATGGTGACTATTTAGGCGAGAGCTTCTACTATTCCGAAAATCAGTATCTGAACTACAGTGGGTATTTTAACTACTTTAAAGGGATGGCGTACGCTAAGCCACCAGTTGGCGATCTTCGTTTTCGCCCTCCTGAAAAGGCAGCACCATGGTCTCACGCTTATAACGCTACTTACTTCCGGAATGCCTGTCCGCAAAGAGGTCCGCTAGGAATGACGTCAAATACCGAGGACTGTTTGTACCTCAACGTCCTTGTACCGGCAAGAAATGTAAGTTGCAGAAAGTAAATGTATTTGAAAATTACTGATTCAGATTAACGTTATCTTATTGTTATCAGAAAACACTGGATGAATTACATGATTAAAAAAATGACATCATTACTGCAATTCATGAAAAACTAAAAACAATGAAATAAATTAACCTAATGTAGCGAAATATTATGAACAGGAACAGTTTTTTCAATTCCTCGTATCAAGGAGGGTGCATGCTCCCTAGAGCAGTTGCTTGATACTATATGTACATTATTATTATAATTAAATTTGGAACAATCTGTCGGCTTGAATATCAAGTTCCGGTTTTTAGAACATTTAAGTTACTAAAATGGTAAATTAGCCATCTACGGCATGGGTATATGGAAGAGGGTTTCGGGAACGTCGTACGACCCCACCCCCCACCCCCCCCCCCAAAAAAAAAAAAAAAAAACAAAGGTCCACATTTTTTCTAAAGACATTTTTTTCTAGGGCTTTTTCACAATGACATAAAGGAAAAAGCATTGAGAGGTACCAGCTATGAGTCCAAAGACCTTGACACTTGCGTGACGTAATCTATCTCAATTCCAAGGAATGAACGTCCTCAGTCTGTGTCGATTCGGCAGCAATTTCTTTTCTTTTTTTTATATTTCTATAACGAACTGTTTTATACTTCTTGCGAAGCGAAAAAAATTTGCAGCCAATCAGAGCTCAGAAAGCGAACCGACGCTTTCGATTCGCGCGAATAAATTCGCCTAGTGGAAAACAGCTAGCCTTTTCCACTAGGCGAATTTATTCGCGAATTGAAGAAAGCGTAGGTTCATGCACACGCGCATTCACGTTTCTATCGGAGTTTTTGCTTCAATTGGTAGTTAGAACTGTTATAGTTCCTACTTTTTGCGAAGCGAAAAAAATACGCAACCAATCAGAGCTCAAGAAGCGAACCGACACTTTCCATTTCTGGTGGAGAACCGGATTTATATCCTATGCTTAGGGACAAAAATAAAACTTAAAACTTGACTGCTAGCGCCGCAGAAAAAATGTGAAAAAAAGTTTGCTGCCTACAATCTCTACTGTATCGGACAATTTAATTGGTATTTACAATTTTAATCATTTTCTCCAGAACACTATGTACATTCATTAAATTTATATCTTGGATCTACATGCTTCGTGACTTCTTTAAATGTATTTGTGGTATGCTGTATATCAGGCTAAGAAACTAAACAATACAGAATCATTCTACAGACTTTGAATTATTTAGTTTACAAAGGTAATACAGACGTTGGCCTGTATTCCTATTTTAATACATAGGCATCTATTGAATTCCCAGGCAAGTTAAGTAAACTTAAACTATTTCAACTGCAACATTATGGCAAATAGGTAGGTCTATTATAATTATTTGTTCCAGTTGACTGGTGCTCCCGTTATGGTTTGGTTCCATGCTGGGCAATACAGATTCGGATCTGGGTCCGATGACTATACTTGGGGTGTACCATTATTGGCAGCTGCCGGAGGTAACGTCATATTCGTCACATTAAACTTCCGCTTGGGGGTTTTCGGATTTCAGACAACAGGTTAGTGCGGAATAATATAATGAAATATATAGATTTATTCAATCGTTGGTATTGGGGTTGTAACTTGTTAAATCTAAAGTGGTATTATGACCAATAGTTATTCCTACCAAATGCTAGATTCTTTCGTTTTTTTTTAACTTTCCATTTAACCCTTGCCATATTAACAGCTCAAACTTTCAAACATAATACTATAAAAATTAAACAGCACTAATCACATAGTTTTATTCTTATTCTATATGTTAACGAGGAATAACTATTAATTTTCATCATGCAGTTTTGTTTCTGACAATTTATTGATCTTATGTTTTGTTCATTCTCAAAATAAGGCGATGATGTTTCTTCGGGTAACTATGGTCTGATGGACCAAAAGATGGCATTAAACTGGGTTTATGAAAATATCGAGGGTAAGACAATCATTTTCATTCTTATTATCGCTTTTTGTACCGACCAAAATTAATAATAAAGATCAAATTATTACGCAATGAAACAACTGCCACGAGGTATTACAATTCGAACTAGTGTTAAATATCGGTTTGGCGATATGTGCTCAGCTTCGGAGTGGAGGTACCATGAAATCAATGATTAGGGTCTTGCACCATGCTAAATATCGGTTAGTTGCTGGTGGATGACTTTTAATGAGTAGTAGGCACAGAGTTCCTTTCAGTACACTGCAAACTTTTATTCACACAAACTGTACGTTGGTAATCAGCTAAACTCCAGGTTTCAGATGTTAGAGAACCCTTTTTGAGTGGAGTCAGCTCAGCTCTGTACTTTCTTCTGTGTTGAATCTAACTATTGACTACTGATTACTGACTACTGACTACTGATCACTGACTACTGATCACTGACAACTCACTACTGACTACAGATTCAGTGATATGGGGGTGTTTGCCTATTATACTTTAGGTAATGGGGGTGTGTCTCAAGTAAGTCACCCCATACTTTTAGAGTTTCTGATTGGATCATAGAGAAATTCTTTCTCTATGATTGTATAACTTGTTTACCAAAAAACTGCTAACTAAGATGTATCACAAACTTCAGAGCTTAGGCTCAAAACTGACAATCATAGATTCATAGTGTGAGAAAGGCCAAGTCCAACTGACTAGGGTAAAGTTATACAAAGTCCAGTTATATTATTAGATTATCTGTATACTCAAGTTGACCATTAAAACTGTCAAACCAATTTAAGGCATTTATTAGGTGAAGGGTATCGATTCCAATGGTTATGCAAGTTAATACCATTGAACCTTAATAC